CCCCCCCCCCCCCAAGCTCTGATGCTGCCTGGAGACTGATTGGTGGTGTGGCAAGAGGTGCTTCCCCTTCCTGGGTCTGTTTCCTCACCTGCCAGATGGGAGGGTTCTGTTCGATGATCTCAAGTGTGCCTTCCAGCCCTGAAATGCTATGATTTGAGGAAACGTGTCTGAAAAAAAGAAGCTGATGGAATCTGTTTCACACACCTGATCTTTTGGTTCAGGAGCTTCTTCTTTTAAAGTAGAAATTGGCTTTGAGTCATGTGATTCTTTTTAGTCAACTGGCCTTCTTTTTGTTGTCAGGGCATTTTAGATCATTTTCATAAGCCCTCTGTGAACACAGGGCACATTCCTAGTAACGCACGGCGCATCTCATGGTGGGGGGATCTCACTGATGACAGGCAGGTTGGACAGATTAGCCTTGGCCAAGTCCCAAGACGGGGTTCCTGGGCAGATGTGACCTTCCTGGAGTTTGGCAGAGACAGAGGCTGGCCTCTGTCTCTGGGAAACTAGCAGCTATTTCAACACCGACCACGTTTTCCCTTCGGGGTTTGCTGAGGTGCTCGGAGACTTGGATAAATGACACTTAATTGTTTCCTGTAGGAAAATTGCCTCAAGGGTGAGTTGAGTGACCAGGGACTAATTGCAAATGCAGATCACTGAAGACAGGCTGTGCCAGGGAGCATTCTGGACAGGAGCCCTCACCGCTTCTTCCCGGGTCACCTTACTGCCCACGAGGAGCCTTGCACTAGTGGCGTGGGGCCACAAGCGTGTTTTCTTAGTGTGCATTTCTTACCCTGTATGTGCGCGTGGAGACAACTTCCTCCCCACCTGCCACTTACCCACACCCTCAAGCACACAGGCTGTGGGTATGTTCATGCATGAGACAGAGAGAGAGAGAGAGAGAGAGAGAGAGAGAGAGATTGAAGCAGGAAGCTGAATTTGGATGGTGTCCTCCAGGTGGATTGAAGTTTGAGACTCATAATCAGACATCAGCCATGTTTCTACCCATAAGGGTCCTAAGATCCAGAATATAAAACTCTTTAGTGTTAAGGTTAAGAAGGGCTCTGGAGTCCACAGAAGTCAGTACAGAGCCAGGACCAGCCTTTGGGGTTTTTGACACTCAGGTTAATGCTATGTCACCACCACCACCATCATCATCATCTAAATTGCATTTTTAAAAAATGCTTGTTTATTTTTGAGAGAGAAAGAGCATGTACGAGCAGGGGAGGGGTAGAGAGGGAGGGAGGGAGACACAGGATCCGAAGCAGGCTCTGTGCTGACAGCACAGAGCCCGACGTGGAGCTCGAACTCACGAACCGCAAGATCATGACCTGAGCCGCAGTCAGATGCTCAACCTACTGAGCCACCCAGGCACGCCTAAATTACATTTTGAGTAGATACAGAAGACTATTTCTAAGATATATGCGGGGTATAAATGATAATCAAAGAGTGAACACCAGCATACCCACCATGCAGTGAAAGCAAAGGGCCAGACCATTCCTTTTGAAATCTTAGTAGTGACATTAGCCACTGTCCCTGAATCTTTGTTAAACATCCCTTGCTTTTCTAAGCTGTGTTATCACATACATTTGTGACCCTAACCGATATGTTTAATTGTGCACACGTGTGAACTTTATGTAAACCTACCGTGTGTTCTCTGGGGCTGGCTGTTTTCGCTCAACAATGTGTTCCCGTGACTGTTGAGTAGACCTGTAACCCATTCATTTTACTTCTGTCTGCACTCCTGTTGTAGGACCTACCACGGTTCATCCGTGCCACTACGGATGGAGACTTGGGTCACTTCGTTTTTCACCATTGAGAGCAGCACTTCTTGCGTGTGCCCGCTGGGGGCGCGCTCACTAGCTGCTTTAGAGTGAACACTTAGGAGCGGGATTTCTGGCCACAGAGCATATGCACACATCAGCGTTACGAGTTTGTTCCAAACTGTTTTCCAAAGTGGTCGAACCCATTTATGCACCAGCAGTGGTGTGGAAATGCTCCCCCCTGCTCTACTTTCTTGCCAGCACGTCAGCTGTTTACATTTTTGCTCGTCCGGTGGGTGTGAAATGTCTGTCTGCGTGTGTGTGTTGTCCGTTCGGGCCTCATCTTCTGTGAAGTGCCTGTTCACGTTTCTTTCTCAATTTTCTTTTTGGTTCGTAAGCGTGTGTTATAGATTCTATATGTGTAGCCTTTGTCATGAGCGCTGCAGACAGCTGTCCCCCGGTCTATCGCTTGTGATGAACATAAATTCTGTTTCATGTACTTGAACATATCATCTCCTCTGTAATTTGTGCTATTTGTGTGTTAAAAAAGGGCTTCCCTGGCCGAGGGCATGAAGGTAGCCTCCTGTATTTTATCTAAAGGTGTTGCCTTTCAGGTTTCGGTGTGTAATCCACCAGGAATTGATTTTTGCGTGTGGAGTGCGGGAGAGTCCATTTCCCTTCTTTTTTTTGTCTTCCTTAAAGGGATGTTCAGTTGTCCCAGCACCATTTACTGAAATGATTGCCCATTTCCTCTTGCTCTGAACTGTCGTCGTGCTCGTGAATCAAGTGTCCATCAACGTGTGGTTTGGTTTCTGGCCTTTGCTCTTGTGTGTTACGGACTATCAAGTCTTATAAAAGCATACAGACAAAATTCTGTCGAGAGTTTGACTGAAATGACAGTGAATCTGTAGGTCAATTTCGGGAGAATTAGTATCTCCTTATAATATTGAATCTCCCAGTTCACTTACATGGTGTATTTCATTTAGGTCTTCCCTATTATGTTTCAATAACATTTATAATTTTATCCATAAAAGTCTGGCACATCTTTCTAGTAGGTTTATTCCTAGACCTTTGAGATTTTAGAGTTCTGTGTACAGAATTACATGTTTACCAGTTTGTTTCTTCTGATGCGTGAAAATGCAATTGATTTTTGTACATTAATTTTTTTTTCTATACTAATTTTATAGCCAGCATCGGATCGATCTCTTATCAATAATGGTAATTCGCCTGTGGATTATTTTTTTAATCAATTATTATTATTATTTTTTTGTGTGTGAATAGTGAGAGCTTCTATTCTCTCCTTCCCTATCCTGATAACTTTTATGTTTTCCTTACATCACTGCGCCAATGAGGACCCGCAGCGCATTGTCGGGGCGAAATGGCCATAGGGGCCACCTGTTGTTCCACTCTTACCGGGGCACTTGCTGTGGGTGTGGACCATTCCCTGCTATTCCGGGTTTAAGATGTTTCATCTTGGGTAGATACCACATTGTATCAAATGCCCTGCCTGTGTCTGTTGACCCGGTATATTTTCTGGTACTTGAATCTGTTACCCTGTTATACTGTATTACTTGGTTTAGCGTATCGAATTACTCTTGCGATCCTGGAATAAAACTCCTGTGCCAAAAGTTGTTGCAGTCAGTTTGCATATCCATGCTTAGTTAGGACGTTTGCACTGCCGTCTCACGAGTGAGGTTGGCCCGCGCTTCGCTCATATTTTTCTCCTCTAAGTCTTGTGTTTGAGGTGACACTAGCCTCTTAAAATGAGCGTCGAGACGTTCTCCCTTCTTCTGTGTCTGGAATTCTTTGTAACTCGGGTGCCTGGTGGAGGTCTTTGGTAAAATCACTTGTCCTCAGCGTTTGCTCTGCGGGAAGACTGGAAAGTACAGATTCTCCGCCTTCTCTCTCGTGCTTTTCGGGGACCGCCGCCCTGACTTACACAGGGTTGACTTTTGAAGATACGGGAATGTTCTTGGCGTCACGGCATCTTGGGCGTGTAAAAGTAGTTTGATGCTCCGGAAGCCCCTCCTCTCAGGCTGATCCACTGATTATTTATTTGTTTTCACAGAGAAGTGATTGAAAAGAAGCCCGAGAAGTTTAAAGTCCAGTGTTTGACAGACATCAAAAATCTGTTTTTTCCAAACACGGAACCCTTTTACGCCGCTTTTGGAAACCGACCAGCCGTAAGTAACAGATGGGCTGTGTGAGAGCTCTTGAAACTTACTGTCTTTTCTGACAGCGGTCATTGGAAGGGTGGGCCTGGGTGACAATGTGGCGCCAGCATCCCCTCCCACCAGCAGTAGTTGTAAGGAGAGACTGCACATTATTTCGTGGCCTTTTGTTTCCTTGGAAGCTCGGCTAGTGGATTTCAATCTGAAGCTTGCAATGTCGGACTAAAGCTTGCAATGTCGGACTAGAAACTTCAGATTCCAAATGACTTGCTGAATTAGTAAGACAAGAACATCGAATAGGCTTGGCCCCTTTCTACCAGGAGGGTACCACAAAGCCAAGCCTTAACGCCACGGTGAATTTGGCATCGCAGGTTTCAAGAGCACTATTGCCTACGGTAAAAGATTTTACGTGTACTACCCACATTTGCTGGAGAGTTTAGCAGTCTGGATAATACAGTTGGGTACTAACTTCCCAGGAAGAGAATTCCTCTTTTGAAACTTACGCCTGAGAAAAAGGGTCAGAGAATAAAACAGCCTCAAGGGGGTGTGAGAATTGCAGGGGACGAGGTGACGAGGTAGGCTGTTTACTCATTAGCTCAGTTCTTGCATGGATGAGCGAACCGAGGCCCAGGGGGGAAATCTGATTTAATAATTTCACATCCAGAGATATTCTTTCTCTACACTCCTTGGAAGTATAGTTGTGGTTAATGAGAGTTTTATAAGACTGCATCAGATCCGGAATATTGCGTATTCGGAATCAGATCCGGAATATTGCGTCTTCGGATTTACAATGAACTCTTTTTTTTTTCCTCTAATTTATACTTCACCAAATACAGGATGTGTATTCGTATAAGCAAGTAGGAGTGTCTTTGAACAGAATATTTACTGTCAACCCCAAAGGAGAACTTGTACAGGAGCACGCAAAGACCAACACCTCCTCGTGAGTATCGCGCGCGTTTTGTGGGATTCCTGGGTCGTCACGTTGTCGTTGCGGTCTCAATCTTGGAATGATGCTTTATGGTTCACAGTATGCCTTTTTATCCTTTGTTTCCTGTATTTTAATCTTCAGTTCCTGCCAAGAAAATGTATTTTAACTCCTTGTATTTTGTCCAAAATCTCACTTTTGGACCGTCTGCATGAACTCAGATTCCCCTCTGGATCCCCACAGTCTAAACTTCGTGGACGGGTTCTGCCACCGAGTGGAACGGAACGACTTTTAAAACTGGTGGTTTAGATTTGCCAAGCTACGCTCGAAAAGCCTAGCATGCAAACGGGAAATGTAATCAGACTGAAATAGCCCGTGAAGCTGTATTTACAGGCGAGACACTCTAGGTGTTTTCACACGCGGACCTGAGATGACGCTCACCAGAAATGTAGGAATTCCCGTCCCCTTGGTCGGAGCCCTGTCCGCCTGAGGCAGGGGGCTGACTTGGGCTCCTGTTTGAAACGAGGCGTCCTGGCCGGCTGCCGGGTCTCTCTGGACTCTGGGGTGCTTCCCCCTGGCCGCCTAGCTCCTCAGAGTGGGAAGCCTTTCCTTGGCCCTCGTGGTGGTGAGCTTTGCCCACCGGGCGACCCCGGGCACACGGTTGCCCTCCTGCTTGGCCTGTTCCAGAGGCTGCATGGTCTGTGGAGACCTAGAAAAGAGCCCGGGGCCCGAGTGACCCCACGGGCGCCTGTGGGACCCTCCTCACGGGGAGGAGGGAGGGGGGCTGGGGGTTTGGTGTTCTCCAGATACCTCCAGTGGTTTTAGGTAGAGGGGAGATTTAGGTTCCCCCCAGAGCACATTTTTACTTCCAAGATGATCCTTTTATACCTGCTCAGGCTTCGTGGAGCCCAAACGGGGGCCAGCTTCAGGCTGGAGGGAGCCCTGGGGCCGGCCCCCCTCAGCTGCCTCCCCCAGTCGTGCCTGCTCCTAGGCAGTTCGCAAGACACGTGGGGAGAAAGGACAATGGAGCCAGGGGCCTCCTCCGTCCTTGGAACGTGAGGCTGCCTCCCGACTGGCGACTGGCGGGACGAGAGTGGGGACGGACTGCCTCCTCCCCACCAGCCGTGCAGGGTCTCTCTGCCCGCCGCGCTCGGCCTGGCCCCGACAGCACCCACCTGGGTCTCTCTCCCGTCTCCCATGTTCCCCAGCACAGCGCCCTCCATGTGCAAGGGTTTCCTGGTCTGGAGAAGGTCTAAGAAGAAGTCTCGTTTTCAGAGTCACAAACAACTTGAACTGATGGGACGCTGCACGTAGCAGGTCCGTCACAAGGGGGCGTGGGAGGAGGGTTCGCCCCGGAGGCCTGTGAGGTTGTCACATTCGCTGAGTCTCTTGGCCCAGGGTGGACGGCTGCGCGGGAGGGACTCTGTCCATCGTCATCCCACACTGGGCGGGGGCCGCAGCCCTCCCTGTACGGGAGCACCTCTCCTTCCTGTCTCTGGCACTGAACTTGGGGCCGTCACCTCGGGTCCCGGGACACTGTCCCTGAGAAACCCCTAAGCCGCCTTCTGATGGAGCCTTGCCGGTCCACGGGGCCCGGGGTAGAGTGCCAGCTGAGCGCAGACGGGCCCAGC